AAAAAAAAAAAAAAAAAAAAAAAAAAAAAAAAAAAAAAAAAAAAAAAAAGAAAGTCACATATACAAATTAGGCAAGATTTTCTTTAGGGGAATTTGCAATATATTAATGATAGCCAACACATTTAATACTTACTATTTTGGAGACCTGTTCTAAGCTCTTTACTTATTAATCCACATAACAATCCCATTAAAATCATTTTCCAGATGAGAAAATGGAGGCAAAGGGTAAGTAATTTGCCCAATGTCGTGCAGCTAGAAAATGGCAGGATGTGAAGCAGCAGTCTAGTGCAGCATTTGGGTTCTTAACTACTAATGTGTACCATACGTGTTACCAGTATTTTCTTTAATTCATGCATCGAGTGGACTCTTTTTTTCTACTTTTAAAAACTTCTATCAGTGTAATTTTACATTCCTTAATGTTTCTCTTTTTAAGAATTCCAAACTTTTTTTTTAGAATATAATCTTCCCTTTATACAATATCTTAGATTCTGCTACACATACACATAGAGGAGCAAAGAATTAATTTAAAGAATACTTACATGTTTAATTGAAATTGCTCCTCTAATTGCAGCCTTTCCCCATGGTAATAATTTCCAGTCCTAAAGCTGTTTATGTTCCTTTGCTGATGTGCTAAAATGGTTTACCAACATGCTAAATGTTTCCTGTCTCTGAAGCCTGCCTGGCATTCACTATCACTTCCTGGATATTCCTGATCTTTATTTCTGACTAAACTCATTATGAAAATGTTCCCTAGCTTTTTGCCAATTGCCTCTTGCCCCAAGGAGCACTTCTCTGCTTTATACTCTTCATTTCTTTAAATGAAGCACTGATATTCTAATATATCTTTTGCACAATTTTTCAGTTTTACTATAGAACTTTTTTGGAGGGAAGAGGAATAGAAGTGATATAAAAAAACTTTGATATGGTTAATGATTAACAGATAATTATTGTAACATCCTGCTCCCAATAAAAATTTTCAAAATTAGGAGTTGGCTTTCATTAAAAAAAAATTACTTCTATTTTTCAGTAGAAATTAAGGCTCCTAAGTCCTAGGCTTAGTAATATAAGGTGTAACACTGATAAAATGCAATGCAGAAATTAAATTAAAAATATAACTATATACTTTAAGTGATCATATTTTTTAACAACCAGGTTTAATATTTCCGAATACATATGATCTACAGGTTCTCAATATACTGAAGGCACTAGAAGATTTCTCCATTACTAATTCAATGATTTCTTTTTTTTTTTTTCCTTTTTGTCTTTTTTACTGACCGGCAATGGGATCGCAACCCTCGGTGTCGCGCCCTTACCGGGGACCGGCAACGGGATCGCAACCCTCGGTGTTGCGCCTGCACCGCGCTCAGCCAGTGAGCAGGAACCGGTCTCCACATGTGATTTGAACCCTCGGCGGGAGCGCCACCGCACTCCCAAGCGGCGCACTCTCCAGTGCGCCACCGGGCCGGCCCTAATTCAATGATTTCTTAATTTCAAAACATTTCCTTTTAAGTTCTAAATTAAGTATACTACGTGAGGATATATACTATATGATTCCATTTATATGACATTCTAGCAAAGGCAAAATTATAGGAGGGGCTGGGGATGGGGGATAGGACACGTGCAGCACAGGAAAATTCTGGGGGGTGATGGAATGGTTCTGTATTTTTATTGTGGGGTGGCTATACAACTGAATGTACTGTCAGAAGTCAGACAACTTGGGGCCGGCCTGTGGCTCACTCGGTAGAGTGCGGTGCTGATAACACCAAGGCCACGGGTTCGGATCCTATATAGGGATGGCTGGTTTGCTCAATGGCTGAGCGTGGTGCTGACAACACCAAGCCAAGCGTTGAGATCCCCTTACCGGTCATCTTTTAAAAAAAAAAAAAAAAAAAAAAAAAAAAAAAAAGAAGTCAGACAACTTGTATGCCAGAAAGAGTCAGTCTTACTTTAGGTAAAAAAGTGGATTAAATTTCCTGTATTAAAAAGAGGAATTCAAAACATTTCAAATGTTTTGGAGGGCTAAACTTTAGTTTCCTTTTACAAAACTGTATGTAAGTGGACAGTTAACAAGGCAACACCCACAAGGGAATGAGCTAAAGAGGTTGGTCCTTGGTTAGCCCAGGGATACTGTTAATTCAGTCATGTTTTCTTTTAAACAAGGTGTTAAGATTCTAGTGGGTGTTTTTAATACCATTTTTCCCTCACTGACTACTGTACTAGTATGGCCATCAGTCCCCATGCAGCGCCGACCAAGCACAGCAGGGCTGAACTAAGTTCACGTATGCCTAAGCCAAGTCCAGCGAGGTCCAGCATGGACCTGCTGCGTCCCCAGGACCCTGCTTGTGGACCTGGTACAAGGCTGAGCTCAGCAGGCTGTGGCCAGCATTCCAATAATGCTCAATTACTGCATCATGTCCTGGCTCAAAATGTATGGTTACCCCACAATCCCGGGCAACTGCTTGCTTTTTCTTTGCTTGTATGATTTTGACTCAGGACTAGTGGTCTCCTCATTTTTTTTCAAATTAAGGTCATGCTGTATGGATACTTGAAGCCAGTTCCCAGAAATGCTCATGACTATTTGTATAATATAGTTTTCCATACTAACAGATTTTTGAAAATCAGTGTTCTTCTTCCCTTACAGACTAAACTAAAGGAATTTTTGAGAAGTTAATTTTGTTTAATTTACCCTTACTGAAAAAAAAAAAGTCAAAAAGTACAGCTCACAAAATCATATAATTCAGCGTTACAAAGGACCACATGAAGGAATAAGACCCATATATGTTTACTACTCTGGGTTCACAGGCATGACTGGACCCCTTTCCCTCTCTTTAATGATGGAAAAAGAAATGAGAGGGGGGAAGAAAGGGTTTACAAAGACTAGATAGGTAAAACAAAATTCATCTTTATTCTAAACAAGCTCTCCACGTAGACTTTACAATTTCTGACACATTATTTCAGAACTGTAGAAGCACCCTTTTCTTCTCTTCAGTCGCCAGGCCACACCAGTTTTCCTTCTCTACTCCCCAATCAGTCCCTCCAGACCTTTCCCTTGCTCCCCATGCCACCCAGGTTGCATCCACAATTACGTGGCTGTCACCATCTGTAGCCGTTCCACATATCTGACAAGTTTTCTTTGTAAAATTTTGCATTATGTATACCACATCTGGCAGAAAAATGTCAGTGGCCTGCTGTTCTTTTTAAAGCGAAATCCCATTTATATTTTTTGAAGGATAATTCCAAATTTAAAGTCTTTGAATGATGTCAAACTTATTACATACAGAGGCCAGGAAAACAATCTCTAAGTTGAGTGGGTATAAGACAATGGAGAGCTGTTAGGCCTATGGTAATTTAAGTGTACGCCCTGTCTAAAGCCATCAAAATTCGAGTTAATAATTATTATAAATATACAATAAGATTATAAATTTTCTAATTATTATAATAAATCTATATAGCTCTACGGCTCCAGGCCCAGTTATTTTTGTACTTTTTTGCTGGACCTCGCTGGACCTGGCTTAGGCGCACGTGGACTGAGTTCAGCCCTGCTGTGCTTGGTCAGCGCTGCATGGGGGCTGATGGCCATACTAGTACAGTGGTCAGTGAGGGAAAAAGTACAAAATGTGGCAGGTACCAACATTATGTTTCTAAAAGACTTCCCACTAAGCTCCAGTTTTGTCAACTGTAAATAGGGTTAGTAGCAGTGCTTATTTTGTAAGGCTGTGGCGAGGAGTAAATGCCACAATGACTGTAAAGAGCCTGACATGCGCCTGCACATGGTAAATACTTAACAGATACTGGCGATGTCTAAAACAATTTTACTTACTAATGCCTTTATTGTAGCCCCTAAAAAGCTCCAATCAATTGTAAAACTTGCCAAATTTTCACCCTCTTCACTGAAGAGGTTCCTCTGTACCCAAAGAGTGACAAAGTTTGTCAATCCTATCTCCTAACCAGATGTGAAATCTATACCCTTACTGTCACTGCCTTAGTTCAGTCCCTCATCAATATCTTCCAGGATCACTATACTGTCAATGATAAATCCTTATTGACTGCAACTCATCTTTCAAGATGAATAGAACTCAGCAGGCTAGAGGAGGGGCAGGGACAGAAGGCAGAGGTTTGCATTCTTTTTTTTTTTTTTTTTTTTTCTTTTGTCTTTTTCCGTGTCCGGCAACGGCTCGCAACCCTCAGTGTACTAAACACGATGCACTGGTGCTCATTATTTCCACAGGTAATTATAACAGCACATCATCTTGACTGTACCGATTTTAACATTCTGGGCATTTTCATAGCTATTATTTAATTTACCTTTTTTTTTTTGTCTTTTTGTCTTTTTTCCGTGTCCGGCAACGGATTGCAACCCTCAGTGTTGCCCCCGTACCGGACCGGGGACCGGCAACGGGATCGCAAGCCTCGGCGTTGCTCCCGTGCCTCGCTCAGCCAGTGAGCAGGAGCCGGTCTGTATGTGGGATCCGAACCCTCGGACAGGAGCGCCGCCGCGCTTCCCAAGCGGCGCACTATCCAGTGCGCCACCGGGCCGGCCCAGAGGTTTGCATTCTAAGCAGAGAAAGCAATATGCCCCTAGGAATTGACCAATTTGACAAGTCTAGGTCTTCCAGCATGAACAGATCCTGGGTGCCTGAGGAGAGGAAGGTAAACAAGGAGGCAAGGACCAGGCCAGGCTGGGTCACAGACTTCTGCGCTGGACACTAACTTTCTTTTTTAACTGATGGGAGGCACAGAGGATTTTTAGAGCATGGTGGAAGGGTCACATTTGTGTTTTAGATCAATCTCAGATATAGTGGCTTAACAATGTACTTGGTGCAATGGCAGAGGGGAGAACAGAGGCAGAACATAAGGACCCTGCCCATGGGGAGTTAACAACCTTGTTATGGAGTCAAAATACATACATATATGAATACTGAACCAGCCAGTAAAAGGGTAAAATTTAAATTATGGAAAGAAGTGTAAGAAGAATCACAACTGTTAGGAATAAATGCATCATAGATATGTTACGAAAGACCTAAGTAAGAAATGGGCCACAAAGGGGTACTGAAGGACGTGTAAGGTATAAATAGAGAGGAGAGGAGGACACTTTAGGTGGCATAAATTACTTAAACTATTTTGAATCAAATCCCAGGTGAGCATCATAATTATTAGACACTCACCCTGTTTTGGGTAAATCTTACAGGGAGAGGGAAATAGAACACACAGTCATTGTAACAGTTTCCTGGAACTTGCTATACACAAAGCTGGCCAATAATATTATGGAAAATACTGAAGGTCGACTAAAAAGAAAAATCTTAACGATAAATAAGTACTGCAGATGACCTTATATTTTAAAAGCCCCTCAAAACTTATCTCCATAGCTTGAGCTACAGGCCACTTTGAAAGCAGAAATGGAATCTCTTCACTCAGGGACGAAAGTTCAAACTAAAAAGACACTGTGAGGGCTCCTGGTGTGTAGACTTGCTAGAGGTCGCTAAAAGAGCAGGGCATGTTTAGATGACAGCTTTGGTTCTGGACTTGTTAACAGATACACGTAAGACAAATGGCAGAAGCAAAGTGGTTCTTTGCACCCCTGGCACCTAGACAAAGATCTGCAGATTGAGGATGACTCTCATTCCCCTACTTCATCATTTTCCCTCACTCCCTTATCTTTCTTTCCCCCTCAACTTATTCTTTTCAATTGTCCTTGCTCCTTAGTCATTCCCAGTTATTACCATTACAAAGGAAACAGATAAGCATAATAAAAGCTAATAATTGTGGCTCCTGCAATGTCTCAGGCACTGACATGATATTAACTTGCTTGATTCTTACAGCAACCCTATAAAGCAGGTAAATTATTATCCTCATTTTATAAATGATAAAACTGAGGCACAGGAGTGAAGTAATGCGACCCAAGTCACTCAGCCAGGAGTGGCAGAGTCAGGATTTAAACTCAGGCAATCTGGTTCTAGAGTTTATGTACTTAAGCAAGTGTAATTCTGCCTCCCATACTGAAATGCTGCTTTATTCTTCTAACATTTCTAGTTCTTACTAAAAATAATAAAGTAGAACATAAACAAACTGTTGCTATCTTGTTATGGTAGATTCTAAACCCAGGCCAGTAAGAAATCCAGCAGTCACTGTACCATGTAGTTGCTAGCAACTAAAACATGGTGGTTAGCCAACTTACATGATGGCTTCAACCTCAGAAAGATGCTTCAGAATCAAGACTCTTCTCCTTTACAACAATTAGCATTTTTAAAAGGGCTTATCCCAATGTCAGAAGTTAGGAGACTTGGGTTTGAATTCAGTCTTTCACTTATTAGCTGAGTGATCTATCTCCGGGGGGGGGGGGGGGGGG